TTTTTTTTTTTTTTTTGTAATTTTACTACTTCATCCTAAACTTTTATTTATTTAATTTCTGCTTTTGTCATTTTTATTACATTTTACATTTTTATTTATATTGTTTATATTATGTTTATATATATATATCTATTTAGCTTAATTTTTTTATTTCTATTTCTTGAAATTTCTAATTTAGTTTTTCATGTAATAATTATTTTAGCTTTATTTATTTTTAAACTATTTTAAATGTTTTAGAGTATTAGTAATAGTTATGTGCTTTTATCATTTATATATATTTTTAAATATTTATTTTTTTTATTTTTTATTTTTTTTATAATTTTAGTACTTCAACCTAAACTTAGAAATTGTAGTACTTTTATTAATTTTAATTTTAATTACTTTAATTAACCTAAAATTAGAAATGTGAAGATGCACAGATCTATTATTTTCTTTTTCTTTTCTTCTTTTTTTTTTAAGTTGTAGTCATTTTATGTGCTATTTTTTTTTTTGTAAATTTTTTTCATATTTCTATTTTATTTCAGTTTTTATTTCAGTTTTTGGTTAATTTTAGTATTTCAACCTAAACTTATTTGATTTCATTTAGTTGCCAAGGCAGCATTTATTTTAAGTTTTTCATCTAATAATTATATTTTATTTTATTTCATTTTTATTTGTTTTTAAAATAATTGTAATAGTTTTTTTTTTTTTTTAATAACAGCTCAGGTCAAGAGTGGCTCTGTTGCTTTAATTCTCTCTCTTTCTCATGCTCTTCTTGGTCATTGCATTAAAATAAGACATTTGTAGGTTTTGAAATGGAATGAAGCAATGGATGCACTGTTAGAAATGAGGCCAGGAAGTGTTTGTGATGTCTGTCAGGTGGGCTGGACCTGAAGTCTCAGGAGGCGGCGCTGAGGGCGGGGCCAGACGTCCTGATCGCCACACCGGGACGCCTGATCGACCACCTGCACAACACGCCCTCGTTTGAGCTCAGTCAGATCGAGATCCTCATCCTGGACGAGGCCGACAGGTGAGAGCGAATCTTCCAGAACTACAGCTGAGACTTCTACATGGTTTGGCTGGTTATTTAGACGTGTATCTTTGGCTCAGGATGCTGGATGAGTACTTCGAGGAGCAGATGAAGGAGATCATCAGGATGTGCTCCTATCAGAGACAGACCATGCTGTTCTCAGCCACCATGAGTGAAGAGGTGATGCTGCTGACCTTCAGCTTTCCTTCAGCGTTATTTGACTTGACTTCACAGTCAATCATGTGTTTTCTAAGTGTTGAGAAATCCGATTATGTTGTGCACGTAATAAAGTGATGGAGAGAGAAATGCATCAAAATAAATGAATATATAAAATAAGTTTAAATATGCATATATAAATAAATATATAAATGCACAAAACAAACAAAGAAATGCATTAAAAGTACGTGCATAAAATAAAACGAAATAAATATTGCAATACCATGGTTTTAGTTTTATTTCTTTACTGACAAAAACAATTAATCTTCTCGTTTAAAACATTGCGTTCCAAACAGTGGATGCAGCAGTGACCATGGATGGATGGATATAAAAATGCATCAAAATACATTAATAAATGCATCAAAATGAATATATAAAATAGTTAAATAGATATATAAAATAAATACTTAAAATTAAACTAGGGCTGTCAAATCGATTAATAGCAATTAATTGTATCCAAAATAAAAGTTTTTACATAATACATGTGTGTGTGTGTGTACTGTGTATATGTGTATATAAATACACATGCATGTATATATTTAAGAAATATTTACACACACACACACACATATATATATTTATATATGATTTATATTATATATAAATATATTACATTTCTTAAATATATGCATGTATGTGGGTGTATTTATATATAATATAAATCATATATAATATGTATACAGTGGGTACGGAAAGTATTCAGACCCCCTTAAATTTTTCACTCTTTGTTATAAATAAATCTGCAAAGATGTCAACAATTCTGTGTTTTTCTGTCAATATGGGGTGCTGTGTGTACATTAATGAGGAAAAAAAATTAACTTAAATGATTTTAGCAAATGGCTGCAATATAACAAAGAGTGAAAAATTTAAGGGGGTCTGAATACTTTCCGTACCCACTGTATGTGTGTAAATATTTCTTAAATATATACATGCATGTGTATTTATATACACATATACACAGTACACACACACATGTATTATGTAAACACAAACTTTTATTTTAGATACAATTAATCACTATTAATCGATTTGACAGCCCTAAAAAAACATAAAACAAATAAATGCTTAAACGAATACATAAAATCAAACTAAATAAATACCATAATACCACAGTTTCTAATTAGTTTAATTTCTTTACTGACAAAAACAATTGATATCACCTTCTTTTTCCATAAAAATCATTCAGTTCCAAAGAGTGGATTTACCAGTGACCATATCAGATAATAAAAAAGTCAATCAAAACATCAAAATAAATCAGTAGAAATATTAATAATGCATTGTTTACACAAAACTATGAATTACATAAAATAGATAATTACTTTTTATAAATGCATACAATTTGTTTGGTTTCTTTACTGACAAAAAACTGTTGGGATCCTTTCGTTTTGCTATTAAAAAAAATTATTCTGTTCTAAACACCGGATACACTTGCGATCATATCAGTATATTTGATTCGGCCGATATTAGACTGATAGTTTTGTAATATTTCCCCTCAGGTGAAGGATCTGGCGTCCGTGTCGCTGAAGCAGCCGGTGAGGATCTTTGTGAACAGTAATACAGACGTGGCGCCGTATCTCAGACAAGAGTTTGTGAGGATCAGACCCAATAAAGAAGGAGACAGAGAGGCTATAGTTGCAGGTAAGGTGCCCTAGTTGAGTGGCCTTGTTAGTGTGCTGTCTACATAGGGTGTTCTGACTGAACTGCATTTTTATAAGTAACTGATTTCAAGTGTTTTTCACGGATTGTAACTCTGTAAATGGTCATTAGTGAACCACACAAAAGACTTGACTAACACTCAGTGAATCCAGTAGAGTTTGGCGTAAGTGTGTTCCTCGAATAAGCACATAAATGTGCATTTAAAAAAATTTTATTCAACTATTTGCAATCAAAATATAAATAAAAAATATCAAAATATATTTATAATGTACCTTTGCTTTGAAGCTGTCCACCATGTTTGAAGGAAAATATTTTAGCTAATTGCAGTCAGTGTTATTTTAGCGTTAATCATATACTATTATAGTATTTGGAAATCTTTTAAATTCACTTTTATTTTTAGATTTGTATTTTTATAATATATATACTATGTTTATAATTTGTATAATATTTATATTTTTATAATTTTGTGATTTTTTTTTAAATTATTTTTTATTTATTTAGCATATTTCTCTTTAGGTTTTATTTTTATTTCGGTTTTAGTAAACTTAGTTCAGTTGCCAAGGCAAGTTCTTATCTAAAATTTTCAAACTAATTGAATTTAAATTCAGCATTTTCAGTTCCCGAAAAAAAAAAAGATTGTTATTAATAGATTGTTTTGAACTATAACAACACCGATTGCAGTGCATTCTGGGATTGCATATCCATGAAGGATGCATGCATGCAATATTGGCTTATATTTTGACCAAAAATGAAGTATTTCAATTAAAAAAATTATTTTGCTTTCTACTGTTTGGAAGAGTCTTCTGAAAATGCTGTCTAGGCAGCTCACTAAGGTTTGGAACAGAGTCATAGAGTCTTTCCTAGTTTGTTCTTGGATTTAGTCTCGTTGTGAAACGTGTGTGTTAAATCGTCCGCAGCTCTCCTGACCAGAACGTTTCAGGACCACGTGATGCTCTTCACTCAGACGAAGAAGCAGGCTCACCGCATGCACATCCTGCTGGGCTTGATGGGGTTAAAGGTCGGCGAGCTTCACGGAAACCTGTCGCAGACGCAGAGATTGGAGAGTCTGAGGTGCCGTGAAGAGTTTCATGCAAAAACAAAGCGCAAATATTTGACTGCTGCATGAAAGACGTCTTTGTGTTTCAGGCGTTTCAAGGACGAACAGATTGATATTTTAGTGGCCACAGATGTGGCTGCCAGAGGTCTGGATATAGAGGGAGTGAAGACTGTGAGTTCTCATTAGTTTGCACATGATATGTGACCCTGGAGCACAAAAGCAGTGTTAAGTCGCTGGGGTATATTTGTAGCAATAGTTAGAGGCACCACAAGCATCAAAGAACGGAGTCTGAATGCATGTGTGTTTGCAGGTGATAAACTTCACCATGCCCAACACAGTGAAGCATTACGTGCACAGGGTGGGCCGAACGGCTCGCGCGGGGAAAGTGGGCCGATCCGTGTCTCTCGTGGGTGAGACCGAGAGAAAGATGCTGAAAGAGATTGTTAAAAAAGCCAAAACACCCGTCAAAGCGCGTGTCGTTCCTCAAGGTAAAGATGTTTGAGCTTGTCTTGAGAGAAACGTTCCAGTTCATGACATCTCTCTCATTTGAGTTGGTTACTTTCTGACGAATCTGTCAAACTGATTCGCAAATCTCTCTGAATGATTCTTCGCTTATCGGTCTCAATCCAGAGTTTCTGCAGGGCTTAAAAAGGTCTTAACACGTTTTCAGTACTTCTTCCACAAATGAAGGCATTAAAAAGGTGTTAAGTCAGAGCAGAAAGTCTTAAATTTATAGTCATGGCATTAAATGTTGCTAAAAATGCATAACCTTTTTAGTATTTTTTTTCTTTGCTTTTGTCTTGTTTTCCAACACAAATATCTAAACATCCTTAAATCAAATGCAAAATGAAGAAATTAAGTCTCGTTTTGAGAAATGTAACAAAATGAAATGAATTTGCTATAACAAGAACAAATATTGTCAATAAGTTTTTCCTTTGGATTGAGTTGATTTTTCTGACTCTGTTGGTAGGCTTTTGCACCTTTAATCATAAACTCACTTCATTTGGTTCAATTTCTCAGAAAACAAGACTTAACTTATGTAATTTTGTTTATTAAATCTTTAGACATTTTTACTGGAAAACACTGAGGAAGAACAATTTTTTGGCACGTGATTTCCATATTTTAGTAGTTGGGAGTAGAGCTATTTTTTTGTAAAATTATTTAAAAAGTAATGCAGATTGGTTGCAACTCATTGTGTTCCTTAAAATGTCTTTACTTGATCTTAAAAAGGTCTTAAAGTCTTACATTTATTTTTATAAAACCTGCAGAAACCCTGTAATTCAAAATGATTTGAAGAACTGATAAAAACCCTTATCCAAAATCACAAACTACTGGAATGCTTGTTTTTGATGCTGTTTTGTATCATAAATGACTCTGTTAATTAAGTGTGTGTTTATGGCCGTCTCTCAGAGGTCATCCTGAAGTTTCGGGATCTGATTGAGAAGCTGGAGAAGGACGTGTACGCGGTGTTGCGCTTGGAGAAGGAGGAAAAGGAAATGGCTCATTCAGAGGCACAGGTCTGACTTTCATCAGTGTATTTTTAAACACGCTCTGACTCCTGTAGTGAACCGGACGTGTGTGTTTCCTCTTTGCTGCGTTCCAGATCAGTTCAGCTCAGAAGAGGTTAACACAGAGCGCAGACGAGAAACAGGTGCCAAGGACGTGGTTCCAAACGCACGAGGAGAGAAAGAAAGAGCGCAGTGAGTCCAACTCATGAGCTTTCGTGAAAGAAAGTCTTGGAAAAAACACACTTTGTTTGGGTTCAGTAAGATTTTTAAATGCTTTTGAAAGAAGTCTCTTCTGCTCACCAAGGCTGCATTTATTAGATAACAAATACAATAAAAACTATTAAATTGTGAAATATTTTTACAATTTAAAATAGCTGTTTTCTATGTGAATATCTGTTAAACTGTAATTTATTTCTGTGATGCGCAGCTGTATTTTCAGCATCATTACTCCAGTCTTCAGTGTAACATGATCTTCAGAAATCATTCTAATATGGTGATTTGCTGCTCAAAACACATTTCTGATTATCATCAATGTTGAAAACAATTGTGCTGCCCAATATTTTTGTGGAAACGGTGATACATTTAATTTTTTAGGATTCACAGATGAATAGAAAGGTCAAAAGAACAGCATTTATTTGAAATGGAATCTTTTGTAACATTCTAAATGTCTTCACAGTCACTTTTGATCAATTTAAAGCATCCTTGATGAATAAAAGTATTAATTTCTTACAAAAAAACTTACCGACCCCAAACTGTTGAATAATAGTGAACACATAACACTATATGTGAAAACATGTTACCACCTCAGATTCACATTAAATTCTCAATAATTCTTTATAATTCACTAATTGTTGGTGTGTGTGTCTTTGCATTATGGAATTGTTTTAAGTATCATCCTTCATTTTCATTTTTTCATTCCTTGTCAAAGTGGCAAAAGCACTGCAGGATTTTGATTTGGCTCTGAGAGGAAAGAAAAAACGTGCTCAGTTCCTCAAACAGGGCAAGAAGAAAGTGTTAACGGTGAGATCATTTCATCAAGCTGTCTTATTTGCTTTGCTTTAGTTAAACAGTAAATGACCTGCCTTTGTGCATCGCTATCCACCTGAAATTAAATGAGCTTAAATAAGCCCATGTTCATAGAGGTTCAGCACTGAATGAAGCATCATGCTCAGATTTGTTTTTAGTGCTCCGTGTGTGTTTGAACCACAGGCGGAGGAGAGAGCTCAGTTCGAGGTGCTGAAGTCTCAGATGTTTGCTGAACGAGCCGCCAAACGCGATCGCAAGCAGAAGAGAGCCAGAGCCATTCCAGAGGACGAACCCGTGAAGAAAGGTCAGAACCTCCAGCATGGGCTGATCATGAAAACGTGGATTTAAATTGACTGCTTAAACTTTCTTCTTCCAGTTTCCAAAGACAAGGGTGGCAAGAAGAAGTCGGTGTTTGACAAGGAGCTCACGAACACCAGCAAGAAAACTCTGAAGCTGTACAGAGCCGGGTGTGTGCCGCTGCATGCCATCCTGAAGATTTCACGCTTCTGTGTTCTTGTCTCTGAGTCTGACGGTGATTTTCTCTGTCTAGGCCGTCCTTCGAGGACAGGAAGAGACTCGGCATTCCAAACAAGAAAGGAGGACGCTTCAAGTCAAAGGCCAGGTAAGATTTATTACAAACACATTCCCATCATTAAATATGCACTCACTTTTCATGCATCCTAAAAAAAAAAAAAAAAAATTGAATTGTAAGACTTTAATTTCATTTAACAGGATTGTCAGTAGCAACAGAGTTTTTGTTCATTTTCATTAAAAAAAAATGTATGTATTGGTTGGGAATTATGGAGGGATTTAAAACTAAATAGTATAAACATATATCATAAAATGATTAAATACATAAGGAATGTTGCACTAAATATACAAAACTACAAGTAAATGTAAGCATAAGTCAGGTGTGAAATACATTAAATATTATATGTAAAATAAAAGATGTTCAAAACCACAAATTCACAAAATATGAAATAAAATACACACCTTGAATTAAAATGTAGCGGACAACATAAAGCAAAAAATCATTATATCATAAATGTGACCCTGGAACACAAAACCAGTCTTAAGTGTCAATTTTTCAAAATTGAGATATAATAAATAAGCTCTCCATTGATGTATGGTTTGTTAGGATCGGACAATATTTGGTCGAGATACAACTATTTGAAAATCTGGAATCTGAGGGTGCAAAAAAATCAAAATATTGAGAAAATCATCTTTAAAGTTGTCCAAATGAAGTTCTTAGCAATGCATATTACTAATCAAAAATTAAGTTTTGATATATTTACGGTAGGAAATTTACTAAATATCTTCATGGAACATGATCTTTATTTAATATCCTAATGATTTTTGGCATAAAAGAAAAATCTATAATTTTGACCATACAATGTATTGTTGGCTATTGCTACAAATATACCCCAGCGACTTAAGACTGCTTTTGTGCTGCAGGGTCACAAATAATAAAATGCATCATGGAAGTTATGAGTGCAAAAAAATTTAAAAAGTTTGTGAAAATGTATTTTTGTTTTTATAAAATGTATTTTATGCTTGCATTTTATTGTACTTCTGTTTATCTATTGCTACATTCCATTATGTAATTAATCATTTAATAATATATTTAGTTTAAACCGGTAAATCCCTGCATAGAGAATAACTTTATTGCATAAAGAAAATAATTCGTTTTCCAAGTTTTCATACACTGAGTGTGATAAAGAAAAGTGTGATACATATTTTATGAAAATATAACAGTATTTTATATAAACGATTTATATATTTGTGTGAAATGTATATACTCTGAAGCTATTTCAAATATTTAAAGTAAGAAAAATATATGTTTTAGGTACATCTTAATCTAATGTCTTGGTTTTTATACAAGAAAAGGAGTGAATAGGGCGGAAAGCATCATTTTTGTCTGCTGTGTCTCGTCTCAAGCCTTTTATGTGTCTTCTCAGGTACAGAAGAAAGTGAAGCCGTGCCTGATGTATAAGAAGCCAAACTTCAGCGTAACATCAGCCTCACATGATTTTATTATCATCCTCCCTCCAATTCCTTCCCCAACGTAAACCCTACAAATAAAACTCTACAAATGAAAACCTGTGCTGCTGTTTGTCCATGCATTTGTCATGGTAGAGCAGAGCAAATATGAGCCAACGGCTAATGAGCATCAGAAATAAGATCGATTCCCCTTGATTAAAGCCAAATGATTCCTGCAGAACGAGATGAAGTGAAGCTTGTGTTAGAGATCAGCCAGCCGTCTGAAGGGCGCTCGGAGATGTTAGACTTTACAGCCCACATGAAACAATGAATCAGTGTCCATGACCGGAAACTCCTTTATCAGCCGACCTTGAAGATAATGTAGAGAGAGAGTCTTCTGGTACTGTAAGAAATTAATGAAGCTCTCACAGTATTCTGCACAGTAAAGATGCATAATCACAGTATTTTTTTATATTTATGTTTTTAATAAGAGTTATATATGTACGTGTATGTATGTGTATATATATATATATATATATAATTATTTTAAAAAATTAAATATAAAAAAATATTATTTTAAAAATCAAATAATGATATATATATATAGTTATTATTTTATTTTTATTTATTAATTAATTTTATTAAATATTTGTATTTATTGCTTGCTACTATTTATTCATTTGATTATTTACTGTGAAGAATGTGTTTCATTAACACAAAATATTTAAAAATGAAGGTAACACTTATAAGTACCTGCAGAGTGAGTTCTGCTGAACTACATACTTGTGTAAATATCATATGGAGCTTCTTTATTGTAGTAGTTACTCAAATGTTTATAGAGTATATGGTAACAGAATATGGGTGAACATTAAATTAAACTACTAGAATTTACATAGAAATATTAAGTACTGATAATAAACAATATAATAATAATAAATGCTTTTTTTGCACTGTAATTGTGTCTGTCAGCTCAGAGAATGACCTTGTATGTTCATGTACAACTTTCTCCCTCAAATAGGGCACTTTGGCAACGCAATCAGAAACTAGTAGTATTTCCCCCCCTTTTTAAAGGGCAGTTGGCAGTATCTGTGTAAAATCATGACAAAATTAGACTGGGTGTAATGTGAAGTTATTAGTGGTTGTTGCTAAAGTGGCCATCTGCATCTAGTCTGTGAGCTCTAGTTGATTTCAAGCTGGAAGTAAACATGAAGCTCCACTCAGGTCAAAGTTCTGTGTTTGTTCATCAAACAGACCGAGAACAGTTTCCTAACTAAGTCTTGCTATGGCTCCTTTTATTCAAGATTTTCTCTTTTATTACAGCCAGTCTCTCCACAGTCGAGCTTTTATCGCAGCAGGTCATGTTTGCATGAGTTTTGCACACTTAAAGCCTGTATTTATTTAACTTATTTGCTCTGCCAAATTAGATGAATTGTTGTTGATCAGCAATTTCCATGGTTTGCCACCTCTACCACATTGTTGCAGGGGCTTGTATTTGCTTTGCATCTGCATCAATGCTTTGCATACAAGCCACAGCATTTTCTCCAAGTAGGTTTCAGTTTTCGTGAAACGTCTCAAGCAGCTGATTTAATACAAACACCTTCCTAAAGAGACCTGAAAGTCTTTAAAGATGTTGTGTTTGCAAACTACTGATCAATGAATGCAACACTGAATGTAGGTTGTTGTTTACTATGATAAAATTAAGAATATGCATACTTTATTTTAACAAGATATAGAATCACTTCTATAGTAGTGGGGAAAATTGTATTATTATAATTTTCATTCTTTTTAATTTAAATGAGTTGTGTTTCCAATGAACTGTTTACTGATATGATCAAAGGTAAGGATATGCATACTTTATTTTAACAAGATATAGAATCACTTTTATAGTAGTGGAGAAAATTGTATTATTATTATTATAATTTTCATTCTTTTTAATTTAAATGAGTTGTGTTCGCATTGAACGGTTTACTGATGACCAATGGCAAATGCACAATGCATTAATGCATTGTTATTGAGATATATCGTAGATTTCTCCACGGTTCTTGTTTTCCGTTCGTCACTTTCGGTTTTGACTCATAGAAACCGGCTGATGATCCGCCCACAGCCGCGAGAAACGAAACTAAACCGGCATTTAAAGGCTCCGAGGAGATCAAAGACGCGTTATAACCGAAGACATCAAAACTAGGTGAGTGCTTGAGATCATATTAAACAAGAAACGCTTTGTTTACGCTATTATTTATATGTTATATCCATTATTTATATCTATATCTCAAAAGAGTCGAGCAGTTTTGTGTGTTGTTTTTTTAGCCAGCTCATTTCCGGTAACGTTAGCAGACTAGCACGCAGACATTTAATCTTGAAATATTTTTTAAAGAGAGAATAAACGCAAGTAATATTCTCATTTTACAATATATTGTAACATTATGATAAAGCATTTGAAAAATATATATATATATAAAAACATGTTATTGTATCTATGGATGTATGTCTCTCTCTCTCTCTCTCTCTCTCTCTCTATATATATATCTATATATATATATATATATATGAATTGCTCTCAGGTCTTGAGAATCTTGTTTATTTTATTTTCTGTATCGCAATGACATTACTGTAGTTTTTTGACAGACCAACAGTAAGTGTAGATGTGGATCCTGTGCAATGTAATTTTGATATGTTATATATAGTATAGTTCTATTTATATAGTTCTTTGTGATATCACGTTCTGCCTTTGCTGATGTATAATTTAAAGAGAAATAAAACTGATATTTCACAGTGGCATGTCAGTAATTCAATTAGCTCTATTTGACTAAACAGACAACAGACTTTCAGACTAGATAGACAGACAGACAGACAGACAGATAGATAGACAGACAGACTAGATAGATAGATAGATAGATAGGCTCTCTCGTGTGGAGAGAATCTGCTCCCACTGCAGTCTGGGAGAGATCGAAACACAGCTGCACTTCCGCACAGAATGCCCCAAATACCAAAACATTAGAGACCACTATTACCCCAAAATTAATCAAATATTTCCCCAATTTAACATTTGTAGCCCAACCGAAAAACGTTGTTTCATTCTCGGCGAAAAAGCCAAATGTGCAAATATTGCTGCAAAATTTTCTTTTTAATTTAAATGAGTTGTGTTCGCATTGAACGGTTTACTGATGACCAATGGCAAATGCACAATGCATTAATGCATTGTTATTGAGATATATCGTAGATTTCTCCACGGTTCTTGTTTTCCGTTCGTCACTTTCGGTTTTGACTCATAGAAACCGGCTGATGATCCGCCCACAGCCGCGAGAAACGAAACTAAACCGGCATTTAAAGGCTCCGAGGAGATCAAAGACGCGTTATAACCGAAGACATCAAAACTAGGTGAGTGCTTGAGATCATATTAAACAAGAAACGCTTTGTTTACGCTATTATTTATATGTTATATCCATTATTTATATCTATATCTCAAAAGAGTCGAGCAGTTTTGTGTGTTGTTTTTTTAGCCAGCTCATTTCCGGTAACGTTAGCAGACTAGCACGCAGACATTTAATCTTGAAATATTTTTTAAAGAGAGAATAAACGCAAGTAATATTCTCATTTTACAATATATTGTAACATTATGATAAAGCATTTGAAAAATATATATATATATAAAAACATGTTATTGTATCTATGGATGTATGTCTCTCTCTCTCTCTCTCTCTCTCTCTCTATATATATATCTATATATATATATATATATATGAATTGCTCTCAGGTCTTGAGAATCTTGTTTATTTTATTTTCTGTATCGCAATGACATTACTGTAGTTTTTTGACAGACCAACAGTAAGTGTAGATGTGGATCCTGTGCAATGTAATTTTGATATGTTATATATAGTATAGTTCTATTTATATAGTTCTTTGTGATATCACGTTCTGCCTTTGCTGATGTATAATTTAAAGAGAAATAAAACTGATATTTCACAGTGGCATGTCAGTAATTCAATTAGCTCTATTTGACTAAACAGACAACAGACTTTCAGACTAGATAGACAGACAGACAGACAGACAGATAGATAGACAGACAGACTAGATAGATAGATAGATAGATAGGCTCTCTCGTGTGGAGAGAATCTGCTCCCACTGCAGTCTGGGAGAGATCGAAACAGAGCTGCACTTCCTCACAGAATGCCCCACATACCAAACTATTAGAGACCACTATTTCCCCAAAATTAATCAAATATTTCCCCAATTTAACATTTGTAGCCCAACCGAAAAACGTTGTTTCATTCTCGGCGAAAAAGCCAAATGTGCAAATATTGCTGCAAAATTTTTAGCATCGTGCCATGACCTGAGGGACAAACACAATCCAGAAACACACAGCCAATAGACACACTCTCACAGGCCAGAACTGAAATATTGTTACACATGTACATAATGTTCCAATTCTCAGTCCAGCAGTTGCTACAGGAAAATCGTTATTATTATTATTATTATTTTTTAAATATATTTATTTATTTATGTATTCCTATATGTCTCTATTGGTATATATGACATTTCTATATTAGTTATATATTACATATTAGTTATAATATATAAGTAAATGTTCAGATGTTCTGATGTAAATGTTCAGAGGTTAAACCATTCTCTTTGTTGTCTTAATTCTTTGGCAATACAAAATGTATTTTTGTCATGCCAATAAAGCTATTTGAATTGAAAAAATGTAATAGACAGACAGACAGACGGATGGATGATAGAGAGAAAGACGGATAGAAAGATTGACAGATAGACAGACAGACAGCCATATAGATAGAGAGACAGACAGACAGACAGACAGATAGATAGATAGACAGACAGACAGACAGCCATATAGATAGAGAGACAGACAGACAGACAGACAGATAGACAGATAGATAGATAGATAGATAGAGAGACAGACAGACAGACAAACAAACATATAGAGTGATAGACAGACAGACAGACATATAGACAGACAGACAGACATATAAATAGAGAGACAGACAGACAGACAGACGTATAGCTAGAGAGACAGACAGACAGACAAACATATAGAGTGATAGACAGACAGACAGACAGACAGACAGACAGACAGACATATAAATAGAGAGACAGACAGACG